TGAGGCCACTGTTAACTCTACGAGTCATGTACTGAGGGTTTGTTAACTCTTCGGGTACTCCGTACCCATGTGTGGAACACACCAGGTGTAGACCCGTGTAACCCCGTTACACACACCCTGGTCGCGTGCTAAGGTACTACTTGGTGCATTGTTTTTAGTTCTTACGCCAGTAGTTCTCGTCGAATCTGCCGACGCCCCAGGACTTTGATGCCGTCCGTCGGTGCGCTGCTGATCCGGTTTGCCTCCGTGTCGACGACTGGGTTTCATCTTTTGCGGCTGCTGCGAAACAGCGTTACTGACTCCATGCTGGGCTGCGAGAATGTGTGTCTCGTACTTCATAAACTCCTCCATTTGAGGGCGTAACCACCGAAGGAACATGGATACATCCTTCTTCAATGGCTTACCAGCAGGGCGCTCCAGACTGTCTTGGATGGCAGAATGAAAGGCCGTTGGACGTAAGGCATTAACCAGATATCCGACTACACTCTTCGGATCCTCGTGAATGATGCTCTCCGTGTTCACTCCGTCCACGGTACTATAGAAATTGGCCAGCAGACATGACATGCGGGACTCTGCGTCCTGAAGTTGAACATCAACAGTTAAACCACGCATCGCCACATCAAGCTGCTTTTTACGCAGTGAAGTCAGGGTTCCAGGCGTCGAGAAAATACCTTTTCCAGTCTTCTTCGGTCACTGTAACCTTGGGTTTAAACAATTCGAAACGGCAGAAACGCACCAAGATGCTCTGCTCAATACAGGCCCCGATAGGCATACCGAACACTTGTGTCTGCGTGCCCTGGTTCAACGCGTCGACACGTCTCTTGTAGACCATGTAGCTATCCATAAAGTCGCGCTTCTCTTGCTTCGAGTTGCCACGGTACAACGGCGGGACAGGCATATTCGCACCCGCTGCTAACGTCACCATCGGATCACGTGCCGATGGTCCACGGACTTCATGTTCTTCTCCGACACTGCCAGATCTTTTCGACCCTGTAAAGAGCCCCCACCGAGCTTCAACATGTGGTCGGACTGCTTCAGCTAGACTGTCTAGCCGCTGCCCTTGTTCCCCCATCGCTGCCTCTGCATCCTTTAGAAGGCTCACATGTTCCTCGATTTGCAATCTCTGCTCAGTCATCTGACGTCGAATCTGCTCTTGCTACTCCTGCAGGTCGAGCTGCTTGTCGTACTGGAGCTGCAGATACTCAGAGGTCTTCGAAGCGATCTCGTTCTGCTGCTTCTGCACGTGGCTAATCCTCTCCATAGTGGAGCGGTGGGCTGCGGCTGAGGTTTGCGCCAGTTCATCAATCTGGCGTCTGGCATCGATGTCGCCGACGCTTCTCTGGACAGACATCGTCCTAGTCGTTTCTTGCGTCACCAGCACGTCTTCTCCGTCTTGGAGTGACATGTCCTCGTAGTCAGGCCGTGTTACAACAGCACCGTCGCCCGGATCGTAGTCTATAGCTCTTAGGAGCTAAAGAATTCTTTGTTCCCTAATCGACTTGAACACTAGTAGGAAAATTGTGAAGTGAAGCATTACAATGAGGTTAAAAGCTAGTAAGTCGAGGGGCTAGACGAGCACCCAGGAGAGTTGATCGTCCCATTGTTCTTGTCTGCTTCCGTTCAGCGTACTTCTACCAGAAAAATCCGTTATCTGTGCAACGAAACCCGGAGCGGGTAACAAAAGTTAAGAGACGACACCAGGACAGTTGCATGCTTAGTCTGATCGAAAAAGAGAAATGGCCGCTAGCTTGGTGGGACTTTGTGCAGGCTGCAATCCAGCGATGCGAGGTTCTAGAGAGGAAATACCTGGTGTGTATCATTGCGTGAATCAAATCCATCGAATCTAGCATTCAATCCTCTTGAATAGGTCGCATCGTGTGACATGCAGAACGGCCTTAATGCCGCATAATCGTAGTTCTAAGGGTCACCCCATATTTGATTAGTTGATGATTGATGATGCCAGATGGTTGTTACCTTATTTTACTTAGATTTGATGTCGTTTTACTTGTTAAAAATAAGATTAAAGTTAAAAGCTTTGCATTGGTTAGTAGTATATCTACTCACTATCATAGCTATCATCACCGCTAGCATAGCTATCATCACCGCTAGCATAGCTATCATCACCCGTCTCAATGCCGTCGTCCGAATCTATCGTTGCCTCCACGAGGCAAAGTCTAAGCAGCTTTTCCACAGTATCGCAGGAAGTAGAATCGTCGCCTTCGACGACACGTGTATCCATCAATAATATCACCTTTCGAAACCCACAAGAGAAGGTAGGGGCCGTAAGCTCGTTCCAGCACTCTGTTATCCACGCGTATTACCGTGATCGTGTTCGCAGTGCTAGCTTATGACGACGTAGACATAGCTTAATCCCAGTGTCTGTAGCGTTAAATTTTGTCGTGTCAATACCTTCTTCGGTAGACAGTTATACAGTCATCTTAATCATAATGTGTACCGTAAACTTTTGTAGTCACGTACTGTAGTCACGTGCGTAAACTATTGTAGTCACGTTTCGTAAACTTTTGTTCCAGTAGTCATGTACCTCGTACCTTTTTAAACTTTTGTAGAAACGGACGATCGCCACATACGGACAGCTCAGTTGGCCAATCAGACGATGTGAATAAATGATAATACCAAAAAAAAACAAATTATCCCAAGGCGTCAATAGCCGTTCAAGAACCGCGCGGCAAGCTTGACGGCCAAATCCAAGCCACAAGGACTAGAACCCACGTCAGACAAATGGTCCTAAAAAAACTGATCGTGCTTAGCCAGTTGGAGCTGTCAGGTCAGATAGATAATATTGTGCTTTAAAGATATTTGCCGACATCTTTAGGCGCTAAAATGTCAACCCGTATTCGTAAATATGTGTGAAAAAAAATGCATGCTCCGAATGTCTAGATAAATGTTTGTCGAAATCCACCTGCATTAATATTTATCGATATGGCCATTAGGGGAAACAGCAACCAGTATCGCTTGTTTGAGATGCTAAACTCATCTCTGTTTAATTGTACAAGTGCGCGCGCAGTTGAACGAAATGTAGCATACGCACCAGAATACACTTTCAAAAGTGCAATTCGGACCACACTATCGTAATTCATCGAGGATCATGGATTTGTGAACTCAACTTATCGTAAAACCACAATCTGTTGCTAATAAATCTAGCAAATCTAATATTGTTTTCTCAGAATCACTGCAAAGCACAATATTTGATTTGCTAAGCCCCGTCCACAAGATATATCGCCGTCCATTTCTACATCGAGCATACAGTATTCTGTACTGCACTACAATTTACGGCGCAGTGCTGCAATCCCCCCCCCCCCCCCCCCCTGCCGCTTTTTACGTAAGTCAAGCGACTTGCGCTATTCAAACACGTGACAAAATACAATGCCACAGCTCCGTACCGCTATAGCATGATTTTTATGCTTATGGCTGCGTTCACGGGAACCCTGAGAATCTACTATTATAATGAGCGTCACTCATGTGAAGGCCTCTATTCTTAAACTCTTTTTTTACCGTGGCAATGATCTCAGATCTGCTCGTGGTTTCAGTTAATCTGATGTGTCGTCTACGTGCACAATCTAGTTCGCCTGCTCGATTCATATGAAACGTAGTACGAGACACTGGCACCAAAATTGATTGTAAAAAGGTGATCCTCAATATTAATCTACCGGATATTATTAGAGCAGACTTAGGCACGAACCTAATTAAGTAAAGAAAAAAAGAAAGCTTTCTGGAGTGACATTATATGGAAATGATGTCTTGTCAAGCGCGGCGCAAGTTTCGGGAGCCGTTCTGGGGATTGATTGCGAATTGCACTTTTCGACTGAAGCAAATCGCAACAAGTTCAATCTTAATCGTGATAGTACTCTTGTCCTTTGCACACATTCTGTCTAAACGATGTCATAACTCGTTATTTTAGCAAATTTTGACAAATAATCCAACATTGATTTACCTACCGTAATCATCGAATTAACGTTGAATTGCCCTTTATTTGAAGTGTTAATGTTGTCGTATGCGTGTTTTCGTTGAATGGCTGTAGTAAAAGCGCTAAACCAATGTCGTACACTCTAACTCTTTCTTCAGCCTGTGCAACTACATTCCAAAAGATGACAATTTCTATCGATATGCGTTGGAGATCGATTGTGCTGACCTACATCTACGACCATTGACCTAAGTGTTGTTGCGTCCGTTATGGGGGCTCGATGCGGTCTATTTCGTTGGGCTTAACTGTTTCGTCGTAGAAGTAATGTGATGCCGAACACGCAAATTAAACGGAAGACACGATGGCCGACAGAATTCATTAAGTTCGCCGAAGGTGTCGTAGAGGAGCACTCATGCTTCTGTATTGAAGCACTTGTTCAGGCCTACAAGCTAGGGAAGAAGTAGCCGGACATAACCTTGTCGCTGTGGTTTTGCGTTGTAGGCGGTTTTACTTTGTCACCGAGTATGATTAACCTATTTTTAACGTTGGGTAATGTTCTAGCTTTAGATTCACGAAAAGATTTGTCATTATTCTAGAGGCTTTATTTATAAGCCAAATTTGTTGCAAAGCACAATAATTCATATATTACATCGCCAAACGCGTGAATACGGGTTATTATATTCGTGCATGCTCAAGCGTGTGAGCGCCAAATCAATAGTATCTGCTCAAGTAGGGTTAAGCTCAACGCATTCTACCTGAAGCCACACTTGCTGCTAAAATGACCGAGCTCCACCTGCGCAAAGACCCTGTGGCCACACGCTAGAACTACAGGACCACACAGGACGCTATGACGATAGAGTGGGCGACATTCTAGTAGTGGCAGTATTGAGCTGTTCCAGGTTTTTTTTTTTTTTTTGCAATCTATCAATCTCCCTCATTTTGCGTCGGCAATTGGGATGTGCCTAGTAGCCCACAGATTCGAAATGACAGCTCAATCATGTTGCGATTGCACTTCGTTGTCAACTCGCTTTGGTCCCTACTCCATGGCACAAGACTAACCCGTGCAGTGCGCGTGTCGTACGCGTGACTGTGGAGGCAACAGTTGAAGTTGTCAGAATTGAGCAATGCTATTGGCTGGTGAAGTGTTGTTGGGTGGATGTGACTGGTCGAGAAGTTGAAGTGGGTGATCATGGGATCGGTACATATGGATGGATACCGTGTCCGTTCCCGCCAAGCGTGTCCGTTGCGATCAACCGTGTCCGTTGCAAATCATTGCGATGACAAAACCTGTATGATTTGAATGATTTTACCGAGAGACTTACACGAGAGGTAGGAGTTTATGCACGTGCAGGAAGCAAGAACAGATAACTAAATCAATCTCACGTTTGGATTTACCTTCCTTCACTCACTACACTACCAAGCTTCGTTCGCTATCTGCAATTGGTTATGAGCTCAAGCTACGCAGATACCGTCAATCTCGTGGAAGATAATTACTTTCACTGGGAGTTCAACATGCGGATGAAGCTCTCTCGCAAAGGACTGCTGGTCCACATCATCAAGCCAGAGTTCGATCCCCTGAGTGATCGCTCCACGGCCGAATGGAAGACCAATGATTTGAAGGCCCTTGGTGTGATAGCTGGTGACGTCAGTCTCACATACAAAGTCTACATCCGTGGAGCACTCACCGCCGCCAAAGCGTGGAACCTGCTTCAAGAGCAGTTCAATCGAAGCACGCTGAAGAACCGCCTCCTCATCACGAAGAAGCTCCACGTTTTCAAGATGGAGGCCGGTACTCGGTTCGCGGAGCACGTCGACAAGTTCAAGGAGATCGTCCTGCAGATGGAGACGATCGGCGAACCGCTTGACGAGACCCGGCAGCTCGTACTGCTGCTCGGTAGTCTTACAGACGAGTACCGGATGATCAGCACCGCACTCGAAAACACGCCGAACATGACGCTCGCCTACGCGATCCAAGCTCTCTCTGGTGTTGAAGCTTCGGGCGAATCGTCATCGGCTCACGAGAAGGCATTCCCGACGAAGAAGGGGAACTCCACCAAGAATAAGTTCAAGGGCAAGTGCTTCTACCGCAAAAATGCAGGGCACAGAGAGTTCGAATGCCGCAAGAAGAAAGCCGACGAGGGTCAAGGACAAGCTGCACAGGAGACGTCCGACTACTCGTTCATGGCAGCGGGTGCGATGACCAAGAATGAATGGCTCGTCGACTCTGGTACAAGTTCGCACATGACCAGCTTCCGGGACTAGTTTTTGTCCTTGAAGGAGCTGAAGACGCCAGTCCGCATCGTGATTGCGGATGGCACGAAGATCGACGCCGTTGCGAAAGGTGTCGTCGGTATGAAGTTAACGGATGGGACGACTGTCATGCTGTCGGATGTACTGTATATCCCAGACGTTGAAGGAAGCCTCATTTCGGTTTCGAAGCTGGCCGAGAAAGACGTCGTCGCGCAGTTCAGCAAGGACAAGTGTGTCTTTCGCTATGGTGACGCTAAGGTCATGGAGGCAGAGCGCTGTGGAAATGTCTACAAGCTGAAGACAGTGGGGGAGGAGGAGTGCCGTGTGGCGACAGCTACTAGTAAGGAGCCATGGGCCGTAGTTCACGCCCGGCTAGGCCGTATCCTGGTTAAGCGCTACGAACAACTACTGACCATGGCAGAAGGAGTGCGTCGCATTGCGGAAGACGTCATCGGTGACGACGTGTGCGCAGGGTGCTGCATGGGCAAGATGCGAGCGGACGACTTCCCAAGGTACCCGGAGAAGCTCGTCAAGAGTACTGATGTACTGGATTTAGTACACTCGGACGTCATGGGTCCGATGCAAACCAAAACACTAGGTGGTTGCACGTTTGCGGTGACATTCATCGACGAATATTCTCACCATGTGGCGGTCTATTTTATGATGATGAAGTCAGAGGTGCTCTCTACGTTCAAGACCTTCAAGGTGTCGATGCAGAATGCAACGGGCAAGACCATCAAGCGACTGCGCTCGGACAATGGTGGTGAATACACGGGTGGTCCGTTCAAGGATTTCCTCGCCCGTAGTGGCATTAAGCATGAGAAGACCGATCCGTACACGCCCCAGCAGAACGGACTCGCTGAGCGGATGAACCGGAACCTAGTCGAAATGGCTCGCCGTCTGCTGTACCACGAAGGTATTGAAAAGAAGTGGTGGGCTGAGGCCGTCAACACGGCAGCCTGGATCATCAATCGGATCCCTAACTCTGTGACGGTCAAGACACCCTACGAAATCGTGCACAAGGCCAAGCCTCAGCTGAAGAACGTGAAGGTGTTCGGTTTCCTCGGGTACGCGCACATTCTAGACGAGAAGCGCCGCAAACTCGACGCCAAGGCCTTTAAGTGTCGCTTTATAGGATAGGAGGATGGCGTGAAGGTCTACAGAGTTCTCAATGTGACTACGGGTAAGGTACAGATCGTGCGCACGGTGAAGTTCATGGAAACTGTAACGGGGTTACACGGGTGTGGCACACACATGGGTACGGAGTACCCGAAGAGTTAACAGACTCTCAGTACACGAATCGTAGAGTTAACAGTGGCCTCAGTACATAGGTTGAGGGCCACACGATATGCATTTGATTAGGTTTAACTATGCTAGATAGTTAAACATAGAAAGCGGCTTGGCCGCAATAAAAAAAATAAAACACTTCTGGTTTTGAAGCATAAAAGTTATTTGTGTTCTTAATAACTTTGAGCCCTGGTACTTGGGCTGTAAGTTTCCTTCGGATAAGGGACTTGGTTTTAGGGACTCTTTGAGTCGTACGTCTTCCTCTGACGTTAGCTACGGCAGCCCCGCTGCACTTGGTAGCACTTGTAGTCAATCCCGCACCTGAGTCGGTTGACTGTATCCTCTGTGAGGATGGAACACCCCGTGTTCGCGAACTTGCCCCCGGCGCAGCAGGACGCGCTTAACAAGCTTATGTCCCTGCTAGGCCCGGAGGGCGTCGCACACCTTACGTCGCAAGGTCCAGAGGCGGTTACCGCCAGACTGGAAGCGTTCTCTCGCTACGAAAACGCGCTCTTAGAACATGTTCAGGAGAGGATGAGCGCTGCGACGGGGGCAGCGTCGGTGACGCGTGAAGGGTCTGTGCGACCGAAACCGCTCTTAGTGAGCGTAAAAACCTTCGAAGGGAAGGATGGAGAGAATCTCCTTCTCTGGACCCGCGAGGTCGAGATGGCCATGGGGTCAGCTCTGCTCCAATCCGAGCGCGTCGCGCTGGCTATCTCCAAGCTTGGAGGTCGCGCTCGCGAGTAGGCACTAACGTGCGGTATGTCAGTAAACACTGCATTCCCCACTTGGGAGCAGCTGAAGTAGCAAATGTCGCGCGTGTTTGCGCCACCTAATCCTCCATACCGTATTCGGTCGAAATTCCTTGCTACCCGCCAGGGTAAGAAGGAGTTACTGGACTATGTCCAAGAGGTGAGAACTCTAATCGCCGGGATGGCGGCAGATCCTCTTCCGGAACTGGTCACAGTGACCGTATTCATGGAGGGACTCCGCGTGAGCGCAGCTCGAACAGAAGTATTCCGTGTACACCCGACCTCTTTCGAGGAGGCGGTGGACGTGGCATTGAATGCCGAACACAACTTCAGGTCGGCTCGACCTGGTTTGAGCGCTGGTAGCGTGAGTTCTTCGAGGGGTCCGGAACCGATGGACCTCAGCTATGCTGAAGATGAAGAAGCGGAACATCTTGCTGCGAAGCAGCGTGCCGGCATCCGCCAATGCTTTCTGTGCAAAAGCACCAAGCATCCGAGGGCGAATTGTCCTCTGCGCTTCAAGCGCCAGGCTCCGGCTAGCCAACCCTCCGGGTCATCGCCGGGAAACGGAAACTCCCAGTAGGCGCGAGGCGGCCTACTGGGGTGAACTGAGTTCTGTTGCACGTCGAGGAGGTAGAGGGCGACGGGGCTCAGCCCCGAAGAGAGCTGGGCTCTCTTATGAGAAGAATGTGCGCAAACCAGGCTTGCTAGTCATTCAAGTAAACGTGAGGGGCTTTGCAAAGCCGTGGAGAGTCTTGATTGACTCGGGAGCTTCGGGCAACTATGCTCGTCGCTCCACCCTGGAAGGGAGTCAGCTGTATGCTGAGGCACTGGAAGTGCGAACGCGAGATGAAATCTTAGTCCGTCTTGCGACGGGGACACTTGTGACGGTGTCGAAGGTCTCTGTTGACCTTAATGTGAACTTCTTAGACTTCGATAGCGTGGAACGCTGTTTGGCCTTAGACCTGGATTCGAGGTATGACCTCATCTTGGGCATGGCATGGCTTGAGCGCCATGAGCCATGGATCGACTGGAAGTCGAAAACACTCGGTGCTACGCGTCCTTCTCCTAGTGGAGCCTTGGTGAGTCATGAACCCACCTCTGCTAGGAAGCAGAAGCGCTACTGGCGCGAGCACGAGGCCGAGGCAGCCGTGGTGCTGGACATTGGTATGTCGGAACTTATTTACAACGAGGTTGTTGTTTGTCCTGGTGAGGACGAGCGCGGAGTGGCGCGTAACCCACTGAGTGGTATGGATCCGGTCGAAGACCTACCGTTGCGGGGCCTGAGGGCCGCGGTCGACTGCGAGTCGATGCATCGTGGGCAAGACCTAAAAGATGCAGGTGTAGTGACACCGAGATCACTGAGTAAGGGTCATGGACCGCATGGCCCTGAGCCGAGTGTCTCGCGAGACACTGTTTTCTCTTCGAGGAGCGTTGGTGCTGCTGCACCCGGTGGTGGTAACGGATATGTCACCACACCACTCTCGTCCAGCCGAGCTCGGTCGCGGAGGGAGAGGAGAAGAAGACGCAGGGCGTCTGTGATGTCTTTGGCGTCGGACAAGGTGTCCAACGTGACGAGCAGCGAGGCTCCACGTGATTGCTGTGATCAGCTGTACACACTCGTGAACGGAGTGACTGGGAAGATCGAAGGCGACATCAGCCTTGACTCTGTGCCCGCTGTGAATGCTCTGATAGAGCTGGACGGGATGTCCGTCGCCGAGTTTGGCGAGGCCTTGAAGGCAGGCGG